GCTATGGAGTTAACTTTGGCAGAATGGTACTGAAAAAACAAACAAACAAACAAACACATTCTACCTATAAATCCTGTAGACTTTTAAATAGCATTAGGAGGATACATGATTATACAATTGCATGAAAGAGACAATCAACTTTCCCACAGAGTAGTCATCTTTTCATAAAGACTTTTCTTTGAAATAACAAGATAGGTCAATGCCTCTAGTTCTTTATATTTGAAAAACATGCTATTCAAAACCTCCCCCTTCTTGCTTTTTTCATTCTTGTAGTCATTGTGTCTTCTTCGGCAGACTTGACTCCTTGTCCAGTCACTTTAGTGATCTACTGCTTGACACTAACTTTCCTTTCTCTAAAGAAAATGTGATATAGTCTCCCTTACCCTGATAAAGACATTCCAGTCATCTACATCCTTCTCAAATCTTATTTCCCATCAAGCTTCTCACAATGGTAATCTTCAAATACAAACTCCATACAAAAAAAATCACAATATCTTGTGATTTTAGTGAGAATTCCCAATTGTCATCTGGAAAATATTATGTTTAGCTTCTCTGGAAACACAGAATAAGTAATATCAAAATTCAGTGCCTCTTCACCCGCAGGTTCCTTCATTTACTTGGTTCTGCACATGCTCCAGAGTAAAACCTCAGTGGGAAATGCTAAGAGAAATGCAGAGGTCTTTTTTCATGATATTATTGAGTTGTAGGATTAATATCAGGAAACCCTCTATATTTATGTAAATAAAATAAAATGTTTCTGAGATATATACTTGCATGCTAATTATAAACAGCTGAACAAAATTCCTAACAGCTATATTATGGAATCAACAGCTGAAATTTTCTCTAGCTTTCGTCTTTTTGGTACAATTATCCATTAAGCTGTGTCCTACAAACACTGCCCTTTTAATTTTACCTGAAAATATTTTACCTGAAAAAAAAATTTTACCTGAAAAAACTTTCATTTTTAAGTGAAGTTTTATCAATTCTCAAGGTACAAGCACAGATTTGCATGGCATATGCTCTCATCTGTAGACTTATCTCCTAGTTTTAGATCCTGGTACCTTTTTTTTTTTAGATTTATTTATTTATCCATACAAGAGCTGGGGTACAGGACAGAGATGTGGGAGGGTAAGAGGATTCACCAGAGACAGAGTGGGGAGTAGAATAGGCAGACTGACTGAAATACACTGCTGAGGGGAGCAGCGGGTAAGACACATGTCTGCTTCACCATGTGGGTTCCTTCCTGGCTGGCCAGGGATCAAATTCATGCTGCAGAGTCTGTGGACTGCTTCATAGCGTGGTGCTTAACCCCTTGCGCCACCAGGGAGGTCCGATCCTGGCACTATTTTTACTTTGCCTGTATAGAATATAGTCATTGAAACAAGAAGCATCTTCCATCAACAATGTTAATACTGCAGTTTGGATACTTTTAATTTTTGTGATAATACCAACAAACGGAGAATGATTTTATAATTTTGCCAGGTTATAGAGTACAACACTTCTTCTAGTGTTCTTCCATTGTTTTAGTCTTCCAATGGAAGACTGTCTAATTTATTTAATTTCATAGCTATCAAAAAGCGGATGGTAAAATCTATAGCTTCCCGTAGTTGACAAAGCAAATATGTTTGGTTTTATTCCCATAGAAATGGCTCATAATTTCCCCTATAACATGCTAATTCAGATTATACCTTTATATACTCAATAGCCCCACAATATTCTGACGCTTGTAAGGGTATACCAAAGGTAGGGGTCATTAAACAGTTGTTGTAAAGTATCAAATCATAATTAGTTTGGGCTTTGAGGGCCATACATCTCAATAGCAATTTAACTTGCACTTATAGCAAGAGAGTTGCCAAAGGCAATATGTAGATAAGTTGGTATAGCTATAGCTTTCTTTCACAAATATGGTGGGCCAGATGAGACCAGTGGACTGAAATTTACATACTCTAGTCTAGCAGCTATTGGTACAAAATTTGCCTTTGATTAAAAAATGTGCTCCATATTTGAGCATTACAATGAAATTTCCTTCAGCGATTGTTACTTGATTCCTTGACTTTTTTCCTAATAAGTCAATGTGGCCCATTTATTTACATTGTAAATAATATTGGCCATTCAGCTATTAAGCTTTATTTTATATTTAAGACTGTATAACAAATGTCTAACATAAATTCATCACCAATAATAAATACTGTCATCCAAAGTCCCTTGTCCTTTCTCCTTCAAATATCATTAGGGTACCCTCTGCTTTCTGGTTTAAATGGAAAAACACTTGAATAGATGTCTCCAAATTTTAAAAGTCAAAAAATCAACTTTTTTTCTTAAAAAAGTTTTTTTAGTAGGCTTCAATATGAAAACACATAGTAGACTTGATGGAAGACAGGGTTGAAGATTAGCAGAGCATATGGTTAAAGAAAGAGGGTAAATGATTTGAATGTTAGAGGTTAGGAATGGAAGAGACAGGTGTATTTCTGAAATACTAAACATAAACTTTTTCTTTGTTATCATTTTCTCTATAATTACAATTAACCAACTAAAATTAATTCATAAAAAAATTAAATAAAATCCTCAGGCTGAATAGATCAAAACTATTATTCATCTGGGTTTTCCTGCTTTTTGAAAACAACCCGAGTAGACTTCCTGAAGATCTTAAGAAAACTTTTATGTAAAAACTTGTAATTTGTAAAAATTGTTTTGCCTAAACCCCAAGGAAATCAACGAAATTTCACAAGTGAAAAATGAAACCCATGGGAGACCATTAACAGCTTAACGCTTTCAGTTTTATATGGTCAAATTCTTCCCAATTGCAAGAAGAATGAAGTGCTGTTACTTGATAATAACTTCAAAACATTAAAAATGTAAAAGTATGAATTACATAATACAAGTTAAAAATGAAAAGCAAATATTAAGTAAAGGGTGTGGTTATTCAGATCAGGCATTCATTTGGAGTGATGTTGATTCTTAAGTGAATTTCTAACAAATTATTATTTTTATTTTTTAGAGATTCACTTATTTATGCATAACAGAAATGGGGTACAGGCCAAGTGTGGGGGTGAGAGGATTCACCAGAGACAGAGTGGGGAACAGAATAGGCAGATTGACTGAAACACACTGCTGAGGGGAGTAGCACGTGTGACAGGAGGGTCTGCTGCGCCTGTGGGCAACTCCCTGGCCTGGAATCGAACTCATGCTGCACTGGCTGCAGATAGCTTCACAGGTTGAGACTTAACCCTTTGTGCCACCAGGGAGGCCCAAATTTCTAACAAATTATTAATAACCATATTAGAATTGGTATAAATGTCACATTTGTAATTGATAAAATGTATTAGTGTTATAGTAGGTATAGAAAAAGTGTCATGTGATACTATAATGAAATGGTCACACTTTCATTATTGTTTCTATACATCTTTGTGTATAATTAAATTGGTAGAAGGCATGACATTTTACTTCCCAAAGAAGATAGGAAAAAGTATAAAAAATACACGTTTTGAGATAAAAATGATTGTAATTGAAGTTCAGAAGGAGTCGAACCAAAGGTTCTCAAAGATGCCAGGTTATTTTGTCTCATTGTGGTGACTAAATTATGCCCTCATATATGTTTTCTCTATGAAGGATTAGCATAGAGTTTTAATAAGCCACCAGTGTTCATTCTGGTTTTGATTACATCTACTCTTTTGCATGGTCATACATATCAGCAGAAGTTGTTCTATTCTTAGCCTTACAGGTTAATTTTGGCTTGCCTTAAGTCTACTATGTTGATATTAATTTCCTTGACAGTGGTTTGTTTAAGCATGGGGTTAAGATATAACTCGTCAGTATGACAAAGAATTAATTGAATGGTTCTAAAAATATTTTTCCCCTCAACTTTGAAATTCAGTACACTTGGGGAAATGATTTACTTGTGTTTCTGATGAACATTGTTTCTAGATAAGATGTCCTGAACTGATATAGCCATCTTAATGCAAGCCCAAAGGTGAAGTCAACCCCAACAATAAGGGAATTAAAAAAAAACTGGAACATTTATGATGATATCATTGTGTTTCCGAATTAATATATATCTTAATTTGCATTTTTGAATTACTATTATACAGTAATCAATTTCATACTATTTAAATTCTTTGAATTGAATTTGTTGTTAACAGCTGAAAAATTCCTAAAGAATCTTGGGGAAATCATTGCTTATGATATAATTTAGGATATAATTTTTGTTAATGTAGAATAAATGATAGGATATTTAGTTTCATGTTCAAAATCCTGAGATAAAGAAACTATTTAGTATGGACTTTGAGTAAATCTATGGTTTTCTTAGAGTAGAGTCAAGTGAGAACAATACATTATTGGGCAGAATTAAATATGTAGATCTGAGAGAAAATGTGAAAGCATTCAGATGTGTTAAATAAGAAGTAAAGATGAATTCAGAAAGCAAGATTACTACAGTAAAAGGGAAAGACATGTGTTAATTTGTAAAAATACAATGGATAAAATTAATTATGGACAAAAGTGTAGAGATATTCTAAACTTCATGGAGAAGGAAAATTAGAAAATAACTGAACAAATGGGGGAAGAAAATTCCATATTAGTTTTATAACAAAAAAATAGCTTGAAAGCCTCTTTCAAATTGGACTACAATTCATTCAGGTAATTAGACTTCTACTTTACGCTAATTGCATGATTTTTAAGAGAAAATTGAATTAGAAGTATTTAGAGAAGGGACAGGACTCTAAATAGTCCCTTTTTGAGGGAAAGAACTAAAGAGAAAACTTCATGGGATGTCTAGCTCAGAGAAACAGTGATATGCAGGTAAAGAACTGGAACTGGCTATAAAGGATGATGCTAAAATTAGGAGAGAGCTTCTGAGTTCACTAAACCATTTTTTTTTCTTTCTTGCAGAGCAACTGTATAGACAATAGTTATTGATTAACTAGTGTCCTATAAATAGATAAGTTGAAATCCTAACATTAGGACTTCAGTATGTGACCTCCTGCCCCCTTTTTTGGGTATAGGTTCATGAGTAAAATGAAGTCATTGGAATGGGCTCTAATCCAGAAAGAATGGGCCCTTGTAAGTAGAAACTTGGGCAGAAGACAGATATGTACAAAGGGAGAATGCCATATAAACTGAAGGCAAAATTGATGCATACATCTCAAAATCAAAGGGCACCAAAGATTGTCAGAAAACCATCATAAATTGAAAGAAAAGCATGGAATAGACTCTCTCTCACAGCCTTCTGAAGGAACCAACCATGTGCACACCTCCTGGATTTCTAATCTCCAGAGCAGTGAGTAAATAATTTTGTTACTGTAGCAGCTAAATGTGTTATTATAACCCTGAAAAATTAATAGATATAGCTACATATGAGTGTAATCTTGCCTATTCTATCCATTAACATCACTGTCTGGAAGGAACTATGGATTGGGAAAAGGCTGATGCTCACCCTCCTGATATACTAATAATATGGTCTTCATTGCAGATTACTCTAGAGGTCCTTTACCTTATGTGTAAAATCGTTAATATACTTTCAATTTGTATTTTCATTTTCACTAGCACTTGACATTGTTAACGTAGTTAACACTGAATACATGCTTTAAATTCTACATGTTGATTTTCCTACTTATAAATGATAAATTAGAAGGATAAAATATTTTTAAAATTAATTTTTACTTATATTTTTTACATTGTTGTTCAATTTTGTACAGTGTATGCCTTCTGCTCTAGGTGTAGTTCCCATAAAATACCCACCACCAATTCACCTGTGCACCATCTCCATAGTCCCTTGTGATTTTCCCTCCCTTTTTGTCCCTCCCTCTCCCCCTCCCTTGAAGAATGTCTCTGATTTATAGTTGCCTGTTAATTTTGTTTTTTTTTAATTTATTATTATTATTTTTTCCTGATTCCTTATTTTGTTCCCCTATATTCCTCCTATAAGTGAAACCATCTGATATTTTTCTGTTTCCGTCTGATTATTTCACTTCGTGTAATCCCTTCCGACTCCATTCATGTTGCTGTGAATGGCATGAGTTTATCTTTTTTGATTGCTGAGTAGTATTCCATTGTGTGTATATAGCACATCTTCTTGGTCCAGTCATCTATTTTTGGACATTTGGGTTGTTTCTGTATCTTAGGTATTGTAAATAGTGCTGCAATAAGCATACAGATGCAGGTAAGAAGGATAAAATATATATATTTTTAAAGATTTATTTATACAAGCACTGGGTACAGTCAGAAGCTCGGGACGGTGAGAGAATTAACCAGAGCCAGAGCGGGGAACAGAACAGACAGACTGATGAAATATACTGCTGAGGGGATCAGCGGGAGTGGCAGGAGAGGTCTGTCGCGTCATATGGGACCCTCACTGGGGGCCGAGGATCAAACCGGCGCTGCAGAGGCTGCCAGCAGCTTTGCAGTCCAGTGCTCAACCACTGTGCCACCAGGGAGGCCCAGGATAAAATATTTTTAAAGTGGAAGGCACATCAGTCTAACCTGGGTCACTTTTAAGAAATTCACATTCTGGAACACAGCTTCATATGACTCAAATGTGGTCAAGTAGACACCCACTTTTTTTAAAGGGTTTAAATGCCAACCCTTTAATGATGACCATGGTACTAACATGAAAAATTATCCTGAGCTCTTATATTATTCATTCTATGATTATGCTGCTGTGTCATGAGTTACATAGTCAATATAAGGGCTATGTTAGCCCAGAAAAAAATTCACATTTAATTACAGTAAATATTTAAATAGAAATATAAGCAGTTATATATGAAAGATTATGGATAGGTATATCTGGTAGCACCAAGAAAGTTATCTTTTTGGTTTGTAGAAGTAGCTAAAATTCATAATTCTTGTATTTCCTAATATTTTTCTTTGATAATCCACTAACAAGAGGGTACTTGTTCTTTTGTGACCATAGCTATTTACTGTGGCATTGACATTATCTTCTAATTACCCTAATGCCTTTTGTACAATCATATATTGAAAGCAACAAGTTTATAAAAATCTTAGGTTGACAAATATGAATTCCTTCTTCAAATGCTGAGTGCTACAAAATGAAATTTAGTGCATTTGAGCTTCTAGAAGCTATTTACCACTTTAACATTTAAGAAGTCATATATTAACATTTAAGAAGTCATAAAAATTTTACATCTATAAGCGATTTTACTTAATAGGTTAGCAATATGCATCCTATGCAGTAGAAGCGGAAAAGCACTAATAAAATATATACTGAACTCAGTAAAAGTAAAATTCAGTTGATGATTAGAGGGCAAGTTATAGTTTACATGTGATGGTCTTATCTGCCCCTGAAAATTGATTTTTACCAGTGTCCTCAATAATTAAGAGTGACACAGTCCTTGGGGGGAAAGGCATGGGCAGAGTGACCTTTCCAAGTCAATGTGATAGAAACATGATTAATCTCAAAACAGCAAATTGGAGAGGTGAAACTATCTCAAGTTGAAATAATTGGGACACAGATTTTTATTTTTATATTTTGCATCTCACCTCAGGAAATACAAGAGAAATAAATTTATAATTACTTACTGACAACAGTACACAGGAAAACAAAATCCTTAATGAATAAGATAATAAGAGTAAAACATAATTTGTTTCCTGATTGTCTCTTTGAAATTGAAATGTATCTTAGTAAGTTATGGGAAAGTAGAATAATATAAAACTGCAAAATTTAGCACATGGCTTTCTAGTATATAAATTCCATCTTCTGTGTGAGAATCATTTCTATGGGTACTTACTAATAAAATAAATAAATAGAATTTGAATGAGAAATGGAGGTCAAGCAGATGATGATAAAGCAGTGAAGATTTTTATAATACAAGTTTAGGAAAGAACAAAATTAAGGAAGTTCTTGCTTTAGCTGAGCTCGCTTATGGTGAAAGGAAGAACTTAGAGAGATAGATATCAACAATTGTCAAGGTTTGTTGAACAGATATTTTATAAGTTATGAAACTTATAACTGTCCTGATGTCATTATTTATTAATATGCTTATTTTATTCTAGAATATTTAGGCAACACAAATTGTTGATGGCTTTCATATGTCTATTCTCAGACCAAAGACATTTCCCCATAAAGTGTATTACATTACTAAGTAGAAATTGTTTATTATCAGTTTGATTATAAGAAGTTTATTATCATTACATTACTAAGTAGAAATTGTTTATTATCAATTTGATTATAAGAAGTTATCAATGCGCATTGAAAAACACTAAGAAATAGACTTTAACCCTCATATGTTGTTGGTGGGAATGCAAAATAGTACAGCAGCTTTGAAAAGAATGTGGAGGTGTTTAAAATAAGTTTAAATGCATATTTACCACATCATCCAGACATTGCACTCTTGGGTGTTTACAAAAGAGAAATGAGACCTTTGCCTACCCCAAAATTGGTATACAATGTTTATAACTCCATACAACCCAAATATCTATCCACTAATGGGAAAAGAAACAAGTATAGCCATAAAATGGATCACTCTTCAGTAATAAAAAAATAATAATAATAAACAACTCATACTTGGGAAAAATTAATGAATCTAAAAGCATTATACTAAATGAAATAAATGAAATGCAAAAGGTCCATATGCAGTGATTCTATTTCTGTGACATTCTAGAAAAATGAAAAATACAAAATATAAGTGGCATCATGCACTATATTCTATGGTATGCACATTTTTTCTATTAAAAATGTGTAGTACACAGCAGTGGTAATATAAAAAGTTCTTTGATAGCATAGTGTTTTATACATGTGCCATATTTTATTTATTTAAAGAATCTGTTAGCATATTTCAATTGCTTCCAAGTTTTGTAACTATGAATGCAGTTACATATGCATGCATACATATATGTATGTATACACACATTATGTATTTATGCCCCATATACACTTGTCTGATAATTTTTGTAAAATAAATTCCTACACATTGACTTTTAGAATATAGATCTAGACATATTTAATTTTTTTTCAAATAATATACCAAATTATTCTATACAAAGGTTATACAAAATTATACTTCCACCAACATTATATGAAGCTGTTAATTTTTATAACTCCCTCAGAAAACATTGATAATTATAATTCAAAACATATTTCAATACATAGTAAGTTCCTGAACCATTAAGTTTACATCCAGAACTAATGCCAAAAGAGCTCACTATTCAATGAAAAATAGCATTATCAATCCCACATTTGTAATTAGATAATAAATACTTAAGAAGAGGTTGTCATATGACATTTTATGGATTGATTTAAATATTTAAATAGTTTTATCTTTTAGTTCTTTTGCCACTTATTCTTGAGATCCTTTCTCCATCTCTTTATGTTGACCTCCATGAACTTTATCACTTGAATCCCTTTACCCTCTGTCTTCCAAATGGGATTGGGTAATGGGAGTTAAAATTGTCTTGAGAGCAGCAGAAGATGAGGATAATTGTTTACTCTGATCCTGCCTGGCCCCAGTTTGAGCAATACTTTCCTCAATACTTTGCTACTTTTGGGTGGTTTATTTTCCATCACAACAGCTTCCACTAGATACTGACTATACCATTTTCTTCAGGCACAGGAGTTTTTAACTTATGTAAAACATTGCTTGTCCCCAGGGGCTTTGAATACTTCTTGTGTCTCTTAACCCTATCTGTAAAAAGTCTTTTAATTAAAATTATCTCCATTTAATGAATTCATTTTTCTGTGTTCTTCCAGAACTCTAAGGGATAAAACACAAGGAAATAAGTTTTGTAGGGTTTAAATATTAATTCTATGCAAGCCATAAAAAATCAGAAAAGTGGTTAGTCAAAGATATCAATATATCATATCAACACTCAGGTGTTTGTTCCCCACCCCCAGAACCATATCTCTTAAAGGTATTTATGCAATAGTAAACATATAAACATATATTTTTAGTATAACATATAAAAATGTATAATACACAAATAGTAAACAAAGGAACTGAATTTAATTGTATTAAATACAGTTATATTAAATAAAATACAATTCATGGAATGATGAAGGAAAATTATGCATTGTGACTATGTTGAGATTAAAATTAAGTGTGTTCATTTTTTTGTGTGTGTATTTGAAGTAACATTGGTTTACAACACTGTATATGATTAAGAGGTATAGGATCACACCTTTCAGATGTATGTTACCACACCACAGCCTGTACCAGTGCATCCATAGTCTTCCACCATAGTCCATTGGGCATCCTTTATATTTTGCTCCCCATGTTCTCCCTCTCCTATTGAGATACAATTGGTCTACAACATGGTATGATTTAA